ACCCGCTTTGTCTTCAGCGGTTGTGTCGGGAAGGTGAGCATCATAGAATGCCAGTTTAATAGAAGAAAGTATTCTTGCGTTGAGGGAGTACTTGAGTGGATAGCTGAACTTCTTCCAAGACAGATTTTTTTTTTTTTGGCAGGCCATAATATTTTGAGTATTCTTGAGCAGCACCGTGGTTCAAACACACGTTGATTCTTCTTTGGTCTTCCTTATTCATTGTTCCACTTTCACATACATGTGAGGCTATTGAAAGTACCATTGTTTGGATCAGGTACACTTTCGTCTTCAAAGCAACATCCTTTTCAACACTTTAAAGAGGTCTTGTGCAGCAGATGTAGCCAATGCAATGTGTCTTTTGATCTCTTGGGTGCTGATTCTGTGAGCATTGATTGTGGATCCACCAAGCAAGACAAAATTCTTGACAGTTTCCAGATTTTCTCGATTTATCCCGATGTTTCCTTTTGGTCCAGTTGTGAGGATTTTGGTTGTCTTTACTTACATTCAGTTGTAATCCATCCCGAAGGCTGCAATCCTTCATCTTCGTCAGCAAGGGCTTCAGATCCTCCTCACTTTCATCATGCAAGGTTGTGTCATTTGCATATCCCAGGTTGTTATTAAGCTTTTCCTCCAATCCTGTTGCCGCATTATTCCTTATATATATTCCAATATATACGATAATCCAGTTTCTCTGATGATTTTCTCATCATACAGATTGAATAAGTATGACGAGAGGATTCAACCCTTACACACACCTTTCCTGATTTTAAACCATGTAGTATGCCCTTGTTCAGTTTGCACAACTGCCTCTTGATCTATTTATAGGTTCCTCATGAGCACAATGTAGTGTTCCAGGATTTCCATTCTTCTTAATGCTATCCATAATGCTATCTCTTGTTCTATGTCCTCTTCTGAATCCAGTCAGAACTTCTGGCAGCTCCCTGTCAATGTACTACTGCAACTGTTGTTGGATGATCTTCATCACTATTTTACTTGCGTGTGATATTAATGATATTGTCCTATAATTTGAGCATTCTCTTTTGTCACCTTTCTTTGGAATGGGTTTGGAATGACATTTTCATTATTGGACAATGGTTCGATACTAACCATAGCATTTTCCGTGGCTAATTCCTCCAAAATCCACAGCCTATTCCTTCTTCATAGTCTGTTCTTAGTCTGGAAGCGCTGCGGAAGCCTGCTCACTGGGTGACTCTGCTGGTGTTTGTGGGTCACTTAGTTTCCAGCATCACAGCGACACATAAGCCTCCACAGGGTGACAAACTGATATAGACAAGTGGTGGCCCGTGTGTTGCTGCAATGCTAGAAGTTATGTAGGTTAGTAGTAGAGTACAAACTAGTTTTGTCACCCGGAATCCTTACTAGTCACAGTGAGGTGCAAATATTAAGCAGAAGTTACTGAGTTAGAGCTTGCATGCTTTTTGTGTTTGTTTTTCATTTCACTGAAGAAGGTACAAATTGAATGTGTCTATGTAATGTGCATAATCTATTTCAAAAAATGAGCAGTGGTAGAGGAAAATGAGTGAAATAGTTTTCATGGATGAATTCAATAAGGACACATTCTGTTTCACTGTGGGGCCTCAATGCACTAGGCATCACACTATATTATTCAGTGTTATTAAGAAAAAAAATCTTAAATCACTCTACTGTTCTTGTACCTAATGTTTCTTATTAATGCCTGTTTTCTAAAGCAGGGTTTTACTCTTTCTGTAACGTTAAGGACTGTTCTTTCATTAGCAGGATTGCAAAGCTCAGCCCCATAAAAAATAAACAAAACAAGACAAAATAGAAGCTGTACCGCCTGGGGGCATAATGATTTACTTGTTTTATTTATTAGTGTCATTGTTATTTTTGCACTTTATGATCAGAAAGCAGCTTTTAGGGTTTATTTAAATTCTAGCTAGAGCTCATTGTGATGCCCTAATGAAATCAGAATTTAACTGCAACCCTTCCATTTTTGTAGAACGGCTTTAAGTGTCACTGTATGTCCGAATCTCACCAGAGACAACTGTTGCTGGCCTCAGAAAATCCTCAGCAATTTATGGATTACTTCTCAGAGTAAGTAACTCAAATACGTATCTTTATACATTTTACTCTCTTGGATATTTAATGCACGCTTATCAACTGGATGCTCTGTTAGTTTATTAATATGATCACTGTTTTTCTATGCTCAATTTTTATCTTCTTTTGACAGTTTATCACAGTGTCGACATTATTATATGAGTGTGCGTTACAGTTTAGTCTTTCCTTCCTTCTGCTTCAGCGGTACTAAATTATTCTGAAACAAGCAAACAAACAACAAGTGTAGCTACTAGCAGTCTCTGGAGTCAGACTGTTGTTAGGTGCCGCTGAGCGGGTGTTGACGCACAGTGACCCTGTTTCACAACCGCACAAAATCCTGCTCGTTCCTGTGCCATCATTATAGTTGTTGGGGTGTGTGAGCCCGTTTCTGCTGCTGTTCTGTCAGCCCATCTCTTACCCTCTTGCTTACCGTCTGCTTTTCCTGACTCCAGATCGGTGCCTCTCTGCTTTTCAGCTGTGCGACTTTGGGAGCTGTGTAATTATTCTGTGTTTTAGTGTCCTCATCTGTAAAGTGGGAAGAAAAACAACCCGTTTCTTAACTGTTTCATAGGGTCTATATGGAGAGTCAATGAATTAATAAAGTGCTGTAGGCAGCGCTCAGTACTTGATTAACGCTAGCTTTAATTAGTAATGCTACTATTAGTTTTAGTCTTGTTTCCATTTATCTTTTTCTTTCCAAACTTCTATGCCAGTAGTTTTCAAATGTTTTTGTCTTAGGACTCCTTTAACTTTGAAAAATTATTGAAACATCCCCCCCGAGGTTTTGTTATATGGGTATATTAAAAAACTAAACATTTTAAAATATTTTAATTAATTAATTTTAAATGAACAATAATAGATTTCTCTCAACTCATTGTCATCAACTAATAGTCACCCTAACTGACAGAAGAGAACTACCCCTGTGGGTTTCCAAGACTGTACCTCTTTATGGGGTAGAAAGCCTCATCTTTCTCCTTGGTGCATGCTAAATTAAATAAAATTTTCAGTGAAAAATAACAATTTTCCTAAATAATAAACAGTTCAATCAAGGTGGTATTGTTTTACATTGTTATAAATCTCTTTAGTGTCTGACTCAATGGAAGACAGTGGGCTCTTCACCATCTCTGCCTCTGCATTCAGTCTGTTGGGATATGTTATTATGGTTGGAGCAACTATGAAGTTGGAAGGAGGGTGGTACTTTAGTAGCCTTTTCAGATAATTTTAGATATTCTTCCTTGATACTGCTCAAAACAAGACCAGTGATAGTTGCAATGTGGAATTTGAACCCCTATCAGTGAACTTTGTGTACTGTTATATCAAAATCCATTGATGTGTTGTTTGCTTTGAGTGAGTCTGATACCCGTGCGTGATTCTGTAACATCTGAAATCTTGCATCCGTCAGTTTGCATTCACTGGCTTAGGCACATCTTCCAAACAATGACATTTTATTTTGGAATATTATAAAATGGTAGGCAGTAACTGCAGCATTAATCTAGTCAGAAACATCTTTCAAGTATTGGCAGGTATTTTAAAAATCGCATGTATTAGTCTCCCCAAAATTCTGACATTTTTGCTTGTGATTCTTCTTGAAAGCTATATTCTCTAATCTTTTGGGGTTCTTTCCTCATTTTGTTTTTTCTAGACTCATAACTTAGAAATTTCACATATTATTTGGGCACTAGAACTGTTGTGTAAATTTCAGGATTGTAAGAGGTTTGTGTAGAAATTACCTAACTGCTTTCCTTTCTTTTTTTATTAGGGAATTTCGAAATGACTTTCTAGAACTTCTCAGGAGACGCTTTGGTAAGCAACTTTATGTATTAGGCAAATAATACTTTCATTGCAATTTTGGAATATTCCCAAGGTCAGCAAACAAATCATGTTTTGTTTTCAGGCACAAAGCGGGTCCACAACAACATTGTATATAATGAATACATCAGCCATCGAGAGCATATCCATATGAATGCTACACAGTGGGAAACCCTAACTGATTTCACCAAGTGGCTGGGCAGAGAGGGTAAGACGAACAGTTGTTACATGGCTCCATTTCACAGAGAAAAAGAATGATCATGGTTACTATGTAAATGTACCGATGGAAGGATGGCTAGGGCAATTACGAATTTGGGAGAGAGGATTGATTTTGTTTATTATAGTTAGTTGAGAATGAATGTCTGAATAGTTCTTTGACCATGCAAGGATTTATCATTGTTTTCCCCTGATTTCAGGAGACTTCTCACTCAGTCAGGGTGGTTTTTAATTTGCTTTATCTAATCATGGTAGACTGAAGAAACTGGGAAAAGAAGAGAAAGAAACTTTGTGTCACGGTATTGTTTTATTCAGTGTGTTACTTTGTTCTATTCAGTGGAATAATTTCAGTTAGTAGATAGTCTCATGAATCCATTGGATGTTAAATACCTGGACAAGTTAGGCAATTACTCTGCAAAATTACACTTCTTTGCCTAAGTATCTTGCCTCATCCTAGCAATATAGAAATGAGAATATATTTTAAGGAGCTAAAACTTCCATTTTAAAGTATCTAAATGTTATCAACTTTAAATAATGAAAAATTAGTGCGCAAGTGAATTTGAGTAGTTGAATATTTTTGAATGAGTACATTTTAATGAAAAAAGAACATTTTATTTATGCTTAGATATACCTTTACTTGTCTGATAATTTATGTGGTCTGCTGTTTTTGTAAGGCTTGTGCAAAGTGGATGAAACACCAAAAGGCTGGTATATTCAGTACATTGATAGGGACCCAGAAACGATCCGCCGGCAATTAGAACTAGAGAAAAAGAAGAAGCAAGACCTTGACGATGAAGAAAAAACCGCCAAATTCATTGAGGAACAAGTGAGAAGAGGGCTGGAAGGGAAAGAGCAGGTGGGTAATATGGCCTGGAAAGGCAACATAAAAAGTCTTAAGATGTCAAATTGTGTTGTTGCTAACGTTCCTTAATTCAAAAGAGAACGAACACGGTCTAGTGTACAAGCACAAGTGCTAGCGTTGAAGCAAGCCTGGCTTCATGTCCTGACTTACTGACTTCATGATCTTGTTAGATATGCAGCCTTTAGAATCCTCAGGTTCCGTATCTCAAAATAGAGGTAATATTCCAGCGAACGCATAACCGCTACAGCATCCAGACTCCAGGTACTCTTCTAAGCCCTGGGCATGAAAAACAAAAAATCCTTGCCCTCATGGAACGTTCATACTACAAGTTATGTGTGAGAGAGAACACACAACCTACATAAAGTAGAACTGCCTCCAAAGGTTTCGCAGGCAGTGATTTTTATGGAAGGAGTTCTAATGGGCAGATGGTTAAAGCATTTGTCTGCCAACCAAAAGGTAGGTGGTTCAAGTTCATCACCCACTCCACAGGAGGAAGATACTTGCTTCTGTAAACATTACAGCCTTGGAAACTCTAGTCTTAATTACTGTCCACTATTTTACCTTTCTAGGTTCTAATATAATTGCAATGGCTATGCAGAACTCACAGACAAAGTTCGTGATTAAAGAAGTTAGTAAGTTGTAATGCCAGTGAGAAATGTTCAGAGTTGTTTACCAGATGTAACAAAGTTCTGTCAAGTCTGCTCATAAATGCCCACAGGGCGTATCACTTTGCTTAAGTCTCCACCTGAAGGCATTCAGCTTAAGCTCTATAGACCAGCAAACCCAGTTTCCTGAATTAGGTGCCTCGATTCCAGTAAACCTCAGCCCGAAGGCACACAGCTTCACTTCCATGGGTCAGCCAAGTCCAACTTTTCCAACTAAATGCCTAGAGGCACCCCATTCCTCAAGCTGTCCTCCCGCACAGAAGGGCTCTCTGTACTTGCTCTGTGACTTGGGAAGTCCATCATGCTGATCACGTTCTGACTCCCGGTTCTGCTGCTGCTGCTCTGATGCAGTGACTGTCACTGAATCCAGGGGGCTCATTGCACAGGAGTCTCGGGTACAGAGGGTGCACACCACTCTGAGCTCTTGCTGGTGTTGAGATCTCTCTGCCTGCTTCTCAGAGGACTCATTTTATCCATAGCAGGACGGCACTCCAGGGAACCCTGTTCAAAATCACTCAAAGGTGAATCCTAAAAGAATCTTCCCCCACTTTTTTACCAGACACGTGCAAGGAAAGGTCGTTTGATGAGAGACGTTGGCTAAAAAGAGCCACATTAAATTACCCACTGCCCTTGCAGAAACCCTGTGGAGTAGTTCTACTCTGTCCTTAGGTCACTGAGTCCAAATCAGCTGAATGGTGATGGGTTGGGTTTGGGCTCATCTTTTGGAGCAGATTGTTAGGTTTTATCTCCCGTGGAACCACTGGTGGGTTCACACTACTGACGTCTACTTAGCAGCTGAGCTCTGAACCGCTGTCCCACTCGAGCGGGATAAGGAGCACTGAGGGCACTGTGGTTCAGTGCCGACTGCTAACCAAAAAATCAGTGTGTGCCCATCAATTGCTCGGTGGGAGAAAGCTGTTGCAGTCTGCTTCGTAAGTATTGGCAGTTTTGGAAATCCCATGGACTGTTCATCCTCTCTTGTAAGATTACTATGAGTTATAATAAACTCTATGCAAATGTTTTTTCTTTTTTCCTCCACATATAATAAAGTGCGTGATGCATATTAACAGTACGTATATAACTCAGTTAATTTGTATACACGCACCTACTTATGTAACTTCTCTCCAAATCAAGACAGAGAGCTTTTCCAGTTTTTTCCAAAGTGCTCTCATATTTGTTCTCAATTACCCCCTCCTGTCGCCCAAGACATGACCACTGTTCTGACATACCAGTCTTGACTATGTTAGTATGCTCTTAAACTTCATATAAATAGAATCATACAGTGTACATTCTTTTGTGTCTGATTTCTTCAATGCAGACATAACATTTGTGAAGTTCCATGTTCTTTCCTGTATCAATATTTCAAGTTGTATCTTATCCTGAATAGTATACCATCTTATGACTATGTTATAATTTTATCCTATTTAAAAACACTTGGTTCTGTCTTCAGTTTTTGGCTATTGTGAATATAGCTGCACTGATCAAATTGCATAGATCTCATATAAACCATTTATTATAAAGAAGGATACAGGCTTCAGGGGCAGCTTAGTCAGTTGGCATGACTCAGTTCACAAAGATAATGTTCTATATCTGAGTTTGGGCTGAGGTCTTAAGCTTCGAAGAGCCTGTGTTAGCCTGAGTTTTCTAGAGAAACAAAAGCCAATGGCAAGCATGTAAGTGTAAGAAAGAACTTTATTTGAAGAGAACAGCCCACCCCAGTCCCAACTCAAGTTCATGGGTCCAGTGTTACCTGGAACCCCCTTCAGGCTCCCACAGCTGCCGACCAATGAAGCAGGAAGCTGAAGTGAGACACTGGAAGATCACAGGCTGGTGGGTGCAGAGTTCAATGGCTCCCAGGTCCACAAGAACATCCATCCCAGTGTAGGCAGGCCACATGGGCCGCCCGACCCTGACTTGAGATGCAGGAACAACCTGGTCAAGCTGGAAGGAGAGGGGCAAGAGAGAAGCTCTTCACAGCATAGCATGAAAAGGGTACACCCCCAAGGAGGTGTCATCACTGTGACCTGGACTCTACCCACACATATATGGAGTCACAGCTTTTAGAAATTTCCTACATTAAAACAAGAATAAGAGGGTGAGTATGATAGTGGGACAGGAGGAAGGTGAAAGGAAATAATGGAAAGAAGGCAAAAGCTATTTATAGAGGTATGTATATATGTAAATATATTAATTTATAATGAAAGGGATAGAGGCTAATGTACATATATTTATATGTGAAGTATTAAGATAGCAGACGGACTTTGGGCCTCTACTCAAGGCCTCCCTAAACACAAGAACACTTTGTTCTAAACCTGGCACTCTTTGATGCTCACCTTCTCGACACAATCGCTGAAGATAAAATGGGTGCATACGCACATGTGGTGAAGAAAGAAGATGGTGCCCAGGTATCACAAGATACAGCGTATGGGGCGTTAAAGGCTGGAAGTTAAACAAGCAGCCATCTAGCAGGGAACCAAATAAGCCCACACGGAAGAAGTACAACAGCCTGTGTGATCATGAACTGTTCATAGGATCAGGTATCAAAAGATCCAAAACAAATAATTATATTGATGTGAAAGAGTGGGGTTGGATTAGAGATCCAAAGCCCATGTGGAGACATTTGGACATCCCCTACAGAAGAGTTACAAGGAAGGGATGATTCAACCAGGTTGCAGTATAGCACCGACCAAACATATCATTCTTCTAATTCTTTTTTGTTTGTTTGTTTCTCTCTTTTTTTTATGTCAGATTTATTTTTATCAAAAATACAAACAGTTTTACAAACTTGGCAAAGAATTTAGTGAAGAATAGTGTGGATTTGGGATCTGCCAAGAATGCTAGCTTTCTTTTTTTCTTTTTTTTTTTTAAACATTTTATTAGGGGCTCATACAACTGTTATCCCAATCCATACACACATCAATTGTGTACAGC